ATATAACCGAGGAACCATCAGACCATCCTCCGATGAAATCCTCAGACACTCGCCCAGCCCCTTACTGTGCATCGCTCACTGATTGGACGATGCAACGCATGCACTCATCTGATGCTTCTTGACATGAGAGCAGTTTCCCAGCGGAGTGAAGAAAATACATGAACCTCACGGGAGTCACTCCTCAGTTTATACCTTGTTTTGTTTCAATTAATGTATAATTTAGTTACAAATATGTGATATATCTGAACAACAAAGTGGTCAAAAATCATTTTAGTATTTTTTTGGAAACATTTTCATGATCGCTTTTTTCGTTTTACATTTTCATTAATTGTCATTTCCATTCAGTCAGTCATTAAGTGCTATTTAAAATGTTAATTTGCCAAACAAACAAACAAAGTGTGCAATCCAATGAATGTTAATCTAACTGGGTTTTGATAGATATATCTTTTTCTTCTCTCAATTATTTTATTTATTTTGTGCACTCTAATCAATATTAATCAAACTATTGTTCGTTTATAAATTTTAAGAATGGCGTTTATCTTTTTTGAGAATTAGTTCTTATTTTATTTTATTTATTTGGGTCTACAACAGATGATACAAATGTTTGTGTCAGTAAATGTGTACTAACAGAGGCAGGGGTGTTTTTGAAAATAACGGGGACAGAGCTGGCTGCTGTCAGACGATCAGCTGTGCAGCGTCATCACAAACGGACGTCGCTCCGGAGGAAAGGACGTCCCATTCCCTTCCCTGGTGGGAGGGACTAGTCGCAGGGAAACGANGCAGCGTCATCACAAACGGACGTCGCTTCACGTGACGCTCCGGAGGAAAGGACGTCCCATTGCTCTTAAAACTCATTTCCCTGCTTCTCGTGGTTTCCTTGCGTCTCTCCATGCTTCCCTGGTGGGAGGGACTAGTCACAGGGAAACGACGCAAGTGAGGGACGCAAGGAATCCATTTAACCGAAGTGAGAAGGGCCCTATGTCTCTGTGCTAGACGAGCTTCCTGGGGTTTGGCTAAAACAGCTATAAGAACTCTCATTTAACCTTCAGTTCCAACAATAAAAAAAAAAGTAATTGTTAACACTTGTAAGGTGTGCTGGTTATATCTGTCAAATTGTAAAAGCCCTGTTGGCCAAAATAGGCCAGGATAATAGTTTTTATGGTATTCTTAGCAAAACAAAGTAACTCTTCCTGTAGAACATTGTTGTGATTATTCACAATAAACCACAGACCCTGGTCTATAGTGTCCCAGCTGTACTGATAGTGGGCTATGTGGGGGGGTTGTGTTCAGGGCTCACCTTGATAGCCTGGTAGAGAAACGCTCCATGCATGGCTTCTCTGATGGCCTCCATCCCTCTGAAGGAGAAGGACAGGTTGGACAGACCTCCACTCACCCTGGCTCTTGGTAATGTTTCCTACACACACACACACACACACACACACACACACACACACACACACACACACACACACACACACACACACACACACACACACACACACCACACCACACACACTACACACACACACACGAGCACACACACACACACACACACACACACACACACACACACACACACACACACACACACACACACACACACACGTTTGTTTTCAAGTCTTTTGGGGATTTGTATGGCCCACAGTGAGTAAAGATTAAAGTGATGTTTTTTTCATAATTAAACAGTATTTGTGTTAATTCAGTATGCAATAACTTGAAATCAATTCAAAAGTCAGCATGAAAAAAAAAGTAGAACGTTTTAGGAACTCAAACATACATTGAAAATAAGTCCAATAGAAATATTTAAATATTTACATTTTTAAGAGCATTGACATTTTATTTGATTATTGCATAAAGCTTGCCAGGATTTTTCTTCTTGGGTATTAATGAATTCAGTCAGGAACAGCAGTGGTTGCTTCCCACCAGTCTGTGTGAAGCTCCAACCCCACTCAGTGTTCCCCCTAGCTTTACTGCTTTTGGGGGCGGGTGCTGCCTGGGCGAACAGCAGAGCTCGGGGCTATAATGCAGATTTGTTTAACTTTTTTACACTTTGTTGTTCTCCTTCTTTCCTCCGCTCTTGTCTTTGACTGGGTGCATTCGTATGTGTGTGTTGGGAGCAGAGCCCCGCCCTTCAGAAACAGAGCGGAGGAGAGAATGTGAATGTGCAAAGGAATGCACACTGAAACATGCAAATAAATAACATAAGCGTTTATTTTATTTCATAAAAGAGCACCTGTTCGATGTGAAAAGTGACCGTAGATAGATTAGTTCAGTTGCGATTTGGCGCTATAAATATATATAAAAAAAACACCTTGAATTTCAGGGGGGGCGTGGGGTTCCGTTGGGGTGGTGCAGCGCCCCCCAAGACAATGGTAGGGGAAACACTGTCACTAATCAAAAGGTTACTTAGAGGTGTCAGCAGTGTGATTAGTGATTCAAATGTTAATCTAACTGACCATGAACAGTTACACTGAGCAGTACATAGTACGAGCGTATGTGTCATAGATGATTTGATTCAGAAAAGGTTGCTAAACAGACAAGTTGATGATCGGTTGAATAAATGTTTTGTTTTTCTCGACCGACTGGTGCATACCTTGATCATTCTGGTGGCTCTGATGAAGTATATGGCAAAGTCGTTGTGTTCTTCCATGCCTGTGCCGATGGTGAGAATGTTTGGGTCAAAGATAATGTCGTTGGGGTTGAATCCCACTTTGTTGACCAGCAGATTGTAGGCCCGAGTGCAGATCTCCACCTTCCGCTCTGCGTCTGTGGCCTTGAGAGGGGAGCAGACGTGTTATGTGTGTGTACGTGTGTGTACGTGTGTGTGTGTGTGCAGTCCTTACCTGTCCCTCCTCATCAAAGGCCATGACGACCACAGCGGCTCCGTAGCGCTTCACAGTGGCAGCTCGGTGTAAGAACTCCTCCTCTCCTTCCTTCAGGCTGATGCTGTTCACAATACACTTCCCCTGACAGCATTTCAGCCCAGCCTCAATCACTGAGAAGTTAGAGGAGTCGATGCACAGAGGAACCTGGCAGCAGGAAGGAAAAGCACAGCCGTGAAAGAAAGATGGGCTAACTATCTGTTTGTATTTACTGAGCAGATTAACATAAGTGAATTAGAATTTGCAGTTGTATGCCTTCGTCAGCTCGTTACAGTTGATATTCATATTCGTCAAAATGTCATAACTCTATACTCTTATTATATTTGTGTGGCAATAATAATATAAATCATCTATATATGGCCAAAAGAATATTTGGTGAGGTCACATTGACCTTCTTATCGTCTCATCAGTCAAATTGGTGATTGTACCACACGTAATTAAATTCCTTCAAGGGCTCCTTAGATATCAAGTGAATGATGTGGATGTGAGGTCACAGTCAGATCGACCTTTTGACCACCAAATTCTAATAATTCCATCTTTGAGCCAAATGCGAAGACATTCCCTCAGATATCACGTTTACAAGGACGTAAGGACACAGTGACATTTAACCACCCAAATCTAATCAGTTCGTCCATGAGTAAAAGTCCACACACACCCCTGATACTGAAATACACTCATCCTTTTGGTGAAAATCAGAAATTAATAGACCCATGCTCTGTGAAGCTGAATGCTAACATCAGTATGCTATAATTTTGCACCACAATTATTATGATAATAAGGTCACATTTAGCAGATGTTATGTTTAACATGACAACAACCTGATTTAAACATGTCAGAATGCTAGAATTAGCTAATTAGGTAACACAGAAGCTGCTGATAATGACTTCATTTAACTGGTTTTTGATCATAAACCAAATTATGGAAGTATTTTTTGACCTTATAATGGCACTAAGGGAAAGTCCTCACAATTCATTCAGGGGGGTGAATGAGTGTAAGAAATGTTGAAATGTTGTGACAATCGGTGCAATAGTTGCTGAGGTATTTGTGTTGGACCAACCAAATGTAACAGGACTGGGCAGATAAAGAGGAAAGTGGTAGTGCAGCAATCACGACAGAGGCAGTGTTCAAATCCAAAAAGAGGCTTTATTACTAACAAACTCAAAAATACCTTCCATTAAACAAAGGCAAACGTAGCCGGGCCGCTAACCGGCTTACCAGCTTACAAAAACGTGTCCTTACACTGGGAGCCTCCTGCTCCCTCCATGTGCCACACACAACTGAGCAACTCTGTGTGCTTTGTCTCCCTTGAGGGAGTGATTAGCACCAGGTGTGAGGTCTCCACACCTGCTCCCAATACTGCTAATTGGAAGAGGGTGGACCCACCTGTTGGGAATGTAGGTGCCTCCCACTACCCTGCCTCTCAGCCCCTTATACCACCCCCCCTCCTTCAGTACTAGCCTAGGAGAGGTGACCATGGTCCACAGGGCATCTCTACGGGACGGGGCATCTGCATTCCCATGCTTGGCTCCGGCTCCTTGTTCCCTTGTGTTCAGCTTCCGGCTGATGTACATGACGGGATGTTCCTCACCGTGAACCTCCTGGGATAGTACTGCTCCTATGCCCACCTCTGACGCATCCGTCTGCACAATCATCCCCCGGCTGAAGTCTGGGGTCACCAACACCGGCCGTGCACAGAGAGCCCTCTTCAGTCCCTCAAAGGCGTGTTCAGCCTCTCCTGTCCACTTGACCATTAGCGGCTGTGAGTCTCTGGTCAGGTCTGTAAAGGGAGAGGCTACTGTAGAGAAGTTTGGGATGAAACGGCAATAGTAGGACGTCAGACCCAAGAACGTTTTCACCCGTTTCTTTGTTGATGGCCGGGGCCAGACCTGGATTGCCTGGACCTTCCTTTCTTGTGGTCTGACGTTGCCGCGCTATCCCATGAGTCACTGTGGATAACAACGTCATCTAAATAGGCAGCTGCATACTCACAATGTGGCCTCAGGACCTTGTCCATCAGTCACTGGAACGTGGCTGGTGCTCCATGAAGCCCGAAGGGAAGCACAGTATACTGGTACAGCCCTGTGGGGGTGGCGAAGGCCGTCTTCTCTCTTGAGGCTGCTTCAAGCAATACCCTTTCGTCAAGTCCAGAGTGCTGATATACCTGGCTTCCCCAAGCCGATCAATCAGCTCATCTATCCTGGGCATAGGATACGCATCAAACTTGGAGATTTCATTCAATGTTCTGAAATCATCACAGAACCTGTTGGTTTTGTCTAGCATAGGAACCAGAACGACAGGGCTGGTCCACTCACTGTGAGATTCTTCAATCACCCCCATAGCCAGCCTTTTCTGCACTTCTTGCTCAATGGCCG